TTCCCCCTTATAGTGACACCGGTGAATTGTGCTGCTTGGGGAGTAGGGGAAAACAGGGCATGTCGCAAATGTGCGAGAGATCCGACCGTTGGCTTGTTTTCGTTTTACTAAAACGTCTTGAACTAACTGTCCACATTTGTTATCGGTCATCTATGTGTGCAATGGAAGGATTAAGTTCCATCACAATTGTACACATTGTACTCAAACAAGCCTGGTACATCTGCAGCCTACTAAAATGTTCTGTAGAAGCGATTTTCTTGGTGGGAAATTTACTATGTGGACATCCTTACATGTGCAGTACCTGTGTAGAAAATGGTGTTCGGTCATTTGACTCGGTTAACCATGTCATCAGGCCAAAGCTTAGCTAGCCACAAAATCGGTCTTGTCATACCGAAGGAGTTAGCGTCACACTCGATGAGGCCTCAGTAAACTGCAGTAAGCGAGCAGAGCTCTGTCTGTTGAGTATTCCGAATTAGTCATGGGGGATTTGGCAAGTAGGGCAATCGCTCATATACAGATCGATCGAACTGGTGTGTTTCCGTATTTGTGTGTGCAATTTTCCGCATACGCATTTTTCCTGGTACACATTTTCCGTGTACGCTTTTGTCGTGTAAGCTTTTCTCATGGAACCGTGGCAGACGCCCGCAAGGTTGTGGCTGGGCTGTAGCCCGTTCCACTTTGGATGGGATCACTCTTTGAGCCTAGCACGATTAAGAAATACTGGGCAATCCATCTCCCCAAACAACCACCAACTGTTGCCTGGAGCCAGTATAATCGAGGTAGTAGTTTTACGAACATTATCTTCAAGCGCATACAGCCCCGCTTTATCGGATTACAAACACACAACGTGAAAGAGAATAGACACGCAAAATGTAGGGTCAATGTAGGGCCGAATGAGAGAGCAGAGCATGTTAAAAAATTTGTGTCTGAGCTGGCAGAAGTGTTCCTGGGCCAATGTAGGCGGAACTTAGGAGACATCTACCGACTAACACGGAGAATAAATAGAACGCACTAAATAAAGGTGGAATATGTGGAAAATTATCTGGAACTGAGCAAATAACACGAACTCGAGTCAGTCATGTGTAGAGCAATGCGGGAATGGCGTCACTGTTAGTTATTTTGGCCAAACTGTATTGGAGAAGCCTAATTTATGCAACATTATCCCAGGCAAGTGGCATGACCTCAGCTACATGGTTGGCGACGTCCGGTTTCGCACTTTCCAGTCACTGCGGCCTCCATAGGACAGCCACAGGACGCCTTTGCTTACTTAGCGACCATGGGTGGCTTATGCTTCACCACCTAAAGCTCCAACCACACACCCCATATCCAGTGTAAAGCCGAAGGAATATGACCGGGAGGCATGTGGATGGGAACCACGTTTCATCAACGGAGCCGGCCCACACTCCTTCACAGGCAAACACAAACACGCTGTATTTGGGGAAGCAAGCGCACACAAGGCGGTGGCTGGACCGTAGTCCGCTCCACACTGAGTGCATGGAACCGCTCTTTGAGCCTAGCACGGCCACAAGGACCGTGAACCCCGTCCTCTCCAGCAACGACCAACTGTCTCCTGGAGCCAGATGGACGAGGTAGTGGGTAATAGACAGGTAGGCACCTTGTCAACATACACATCAAGCGCAGTCACACCGGAGGTGTCGAACAACAGCCAATTACTTAAAATAATGATATCAAATAAAAAGGATCAAAAACTCCATGCGGATTTGCCGCCAAAATAGCATAGGAATTAAAAGACGTTATCAACGTATCAGCGAGAAAATCGAGATGACAGCATAAGAGATCAAAAAATGCAACCAGCCTGGAAAAGATAGACGAAGTTCACCACATTTGTTTAAACGACGTGTGCAAGTTAATAGTCTTTTCAGGTAGACATTAAAATGAGGTAACGAAATAATCATTAAGACAATCTAGCAAACTAATCACCTGAATTAAAGCAACTCAGCACGCAAAACACGCGGATAGTAAATCGAATGGATGCGAATGCAGCGTACTTGCCAACGCTGCGCCGGTTCTGCTTACATTCTCAGCAGGACCCGTCGACGTTTCGATGCTGGTCCCAAGTGGTCTCAGCTACATAAACGCAATTACACACATACAAAGACCCAGTGGGTTACTGGCAAACTTGTGGCAATTTTTGTACATTTTCCGATCAGCCGTGGTTGTTTCAGCAGAATATGCTTTCAGTCACTGGATCATGTGTTAGCAGGTGTGTTTCTCCAAAAAGGAGAATATGCCACTTATTTATTTGACTGTCACTGTCAGCTGGAAATTAAGCCCAACCAGAGGATGAGGCAAAAATTTGGTTCTCAAAACCATGTAGTCTCTTTGCTTATCTATTTAACGTCACACTACGTGGTGCTTCGACTGAGGAACACTGTTTCAGCAAAAGTTATGTCTGCTTCATCTTGGCTGCGTTCAATCAACAACTCTATGTGACACTCCGTGTTGAAGATGCCACAAGTTTGACGATCCTCCCCGGTGCGGCTCGCACTGTCTGTATGCAGGAAAGTCCGACCGGTTTAATGTAAGATTCACAAGGTTACTTGCTCAAATCACCTTCCACTATACTTGGGTAAACATACGCACTAACGTCATTGGGTTTAAGACATGGTTCACTCTCGGATAAGTACTTTATTGACAAAGCTTCTATTTAGTTTCTACCATTTTATCCTTCCCATTCTCGGAACACCCCAGTGACGATAGGAATAAATCACTACCACGTTGTCATAATTGATTGTTAATAATAATGACAATGCATGCTGATATTGACATTGCTGAACGATTGTTTCGTTATCACATGGTGTGCAATCACGATTCAAACATCCAAGCCAGAATCTACGTTTTGCAACGATTTCGTTTTCCGACTAGAGATGCCCATTTGGCGTCAGTTGTCAGTTCGTGGATTAAACGAACTCGCAATAGCTACCTGCCTTGCCTACCTCCTTAGATAAACTCATCATCATACAATAGAATGCGATATAACCTAACGACATTTGGTGTACTTTGTGTTAATAAAAACATATTTTAGTTCGGCGTCACCATGACCCACTTTGGGACTTCAGAATTCAGCAGCTACGTTTCAGTACTCTGATGCTTTCGAGTTAAATCAAGTGAATATTACGGATAAAATCAGGCAGCCTTCGTTTTACATCTCTCGAGTGCGATATCCCCTAGTATAGAGCATGAAGTTTATCAGAAACAAAAGGTAGCGATCAAGCTTGTTTTCAGGATTTCAGTATCAGGTTAACATAACTACGACAAAGCAGATTAGGATGGGTACAAGAGATATAATTTCGGTGAGTCACTGAAAGAAAGTATCTAGTCGCAACAAATACATGCTTGGCCTGGTTGATGTTAACTCGCGTGAAATGGCGTACCCGCCATTGTTAGTCATGCTGGCTTGTGGCCAAAGTAATTTGAGAATTTGGAGGCGTTTTCTGTTCACCTAGGTCCGGGTTGTGGGGCAGACTTGCGATCGCGCCTGCCATCGATATCAAGCGGCATCTGACCGCTCGTGTGTAACATACGGGTACGCAGTAGACTGGTATGAATACATCGTGCGGATCGATCTGGTGCTCGGCGTCTGCTAAGTGCGACCATATTGCACTCGTTACATTCGTACTCACACTTCGGTAGAGCCAAGCGGGGCAATGCTCTCAAGTTCTAACGGACAGTCTCCGGATCGCTTTTCCACTATGCTCGACACCGGCAAGAGCAACTGTACACACAGAAGGAAATCTGTTACCGATGTTTCTTGTCCTTAAGTTGTTGGCACACAAACGGTGTTGAGGTGAAACTTACACGCAGATAAGTAGCAAAAACGTTCTCGCTGATGCTGTGAAAAGTCTTCGGGTGGTCCGTTCCGTTATGGTGTCATCCTTAAACGGTAGCCATATCATCAACTTCTCCGTGGAAATGGGTTTTATCTTTGAGGCTCATGGTTCCATGTGTCTCTGGATAATTTTTTCAAAGCTTCTATTACGCTCGAAGGCGTTTCGGATAAAGTTCATCACAGCTGAAAGCGTATCTCCTGCACATATCCTTCTCGCTCTCCTCATAAGTAACGGACGAGATTTCGTTTCTGACTTATCGAAACAACACCAAAGAAATAGGTATATTGCCAATTCCAAGTTTCCTTTCCGTGCATCATTTTTCGACTTCTGCGTTAGGTTTACTTTACCCCTGTGATGTATTCACTACTACTGTGTATGTATTTCAAGTGACTTGCCAGGTCGTTGTATTAATTGTTTTGCTGCGGCGACATTCCAAAGGTTATTGTGGCTCAAACGATCAAATGTACCTACGTTACTTTCTGCATAGGCCATGTTTCAAAAATACTCACTGATATCAGCCACTCTCTACGTACAGCACTATCTATCTGGTCGACCAGACACAAATACGGAGCAATACATATATCCGTACGTAAGAATGTGGTTTGTCGGTCAGTCCCCGTCTGGCCATATTTCTAATTGACTATTACGCTATTATTCAGTAACTGACCGGTAATTTTTACTAGTGATGTTAAGAAAATCTTTGAACTGTTTGTTTTGCTGTTTGCTTACCGTTACATCGTTACTTTTGTGTTAGGTCGATGGCATGTGTGTAATGGTTAAAAGTTCACCCGTCATGAGTGCATAAAAATGGATTCTTGACTTGAATTGAGATGAAATTAAACTGGCGTAAAATTTCTTTACCTGACCTCACTGTTCAATCTTTCGAAGTCTATGTGTGTATCTTTTACAGGAAATCATCTTCCGATGTACGCGATACTGCATGAACTTGGTTAACTGTTTACTATCCTGTTTATAAATTAGGTCCTTTTCCTACGGACTCGATTAGCAAACGTGAACCCAGATGTCGCTTTTGGTGGGCAAAGTTAGCGGCATACTCAGTGGTGGTTAGTTGTTAGAAGTTATTTTACTCCTAAATCGAAGCACCCATGCACCCACGCACAAAGTTTCTATTGTTTCTCTTACTCTCAGCGCATCGAGCTAAAGGTGTACAGACGTCATTTCGGTCAGCGGGCCACCAGCACCGACGGGGTGGATGCCAACCAGGTGTCTGGAACGCACTCAACACGTTCGCTAGACTCAACACCGACAATCGAACCACTCAGCTCAGCTACTCCGTTCTATAAAGATTCTATAAAGCATGAGCCCCATTGGAAAAGTCCCCTGCATCGCCCGGGTTGGAATTTTCGGCACACGAAAAGGAAACCAGATGATTTGTCCACTAACTTCTCCAAGGATGATTGCCTTGAGGACGCGGTCGTCCGACTCCGGAAAGAAATGGAAGAGCGATTACGGTACGCAGACGAGGAGAAGCGACTAGCTGTCGCTCGGTTAGAGTGGGAATTCTTAACAGAACGATACGAGTTAAAGCGAGGTAAGCACACTGTTGTCAATCTTTTGTCACTATGCGAAATGAGTCGACCACCCAAACGGATCTTGGGACAGCATCGACAACGTTGGTTGTCCTAAACATGCATGACTTTGGGGATGCAGTAGGTTTATCAATGTGGATTGACAATGTCATTAATTCAATAAAAGCGAGAAAAACTGTTTATGGGAAGCCAGAACTGTCACTAAATATCCTTGGAACTAAATGAGAACTAACAGTGAGACACTGAATACACTGGGGTTAGAATATTTAGACATGAAGAACAATGATAGATTTGACACTACCATCGGTAAAGTTCATTTGTAACCCCAGTTATATAAAGTATAGATTTAAATGGTCACGGAAACCCGAACTCTCTCTTTCGTAAATGATTGGGGAAAATGTTGACATTTTTTGAAACCATCCCTATGAAGCTATAGGTATCATAAAATAATATAGGGACCAATAAAACCCTTTGGAGAGCTGTCAGATTATACTGTCGAGGAACCGATACTACTATACATCTTGTTCCCTAATTAGCTTCCTAGAAATTGTGAGAGACAGTTTGACAGGTTCAGCCTCTGTATACTTGTACTTAGAGACGAATAGGAATTCTATTGATATCAAAGCCTATTTGAGTCCGAAAAACCGTAAACAGGTGCAGATAGCGAGCTTAGGCATAGGAGTGAACCTCCTGTTCCCCATCCCCAGCTGAATCGAAATTACTGGACTGTGTCGTGTTTGGCAGACTTATCGATTTCGTCAAAGCAGAGAGAAGATATAGATTGCGCTATATTAACATTTCGATTGTGCTCAGCAGTCGCAAACACAATACAAGCAGAAACAGACATATATATATATATATATATATATTATATATCTGGGGAAAATCAGTACACCAATTAAACTGTGAAAATCAAGACCAAGGTAATCTGATTGATTGCCTCAAGGGTTTCTGTGCATATAACACCAGTTGATAAGCTCTAATTAGCAACGCTTCACTGATTGCCAACATTATCGGATTCCCGTTACGCAATAACACCTTGAACGCATAAATAAATAATTAAGTGGTATACTCCTCGGCGATGCGAGGTGCAGTCCAAGTTGGTAGTCTGATCATTGTGTACAGCAGGATCGCAAACAACAACCAATTTGTTCACGCTTTTTACAATGGATCCAAAATGGGTATTAAAGTAATTGGCAGGTTTAAGGTATTAAATAAATTAAAAAGCCAGGAACAATAACAAATGTCTAGCTAAAGTAATACGGCTACTCGTGGAACCGTCCCCAAGGGACCTGCTTCCATTAAAAGTATTCCCTCAAAAGGTTTCACCCGCACTTCCATGCTATACCTGGCCGCGTGTCGGTGTGGTATAGTAGCATACGGACCATCACCTCTTTATCATATGGTTTCTTTTTAGGGCTGTATTTATACATGTATTATGGACGATAAAGCCTCAGCCCGGTCCGCCATGCGGATCATTCAGTTATGACACATTTTTGTACGCCAGTCAGTTGGTGGCCACGTGTCTTGCTTAGAGAATATCTGGAAGTTATAATCTGTCACCACAGGAGATCAGCCCAGTCGTGGCCAACATTGGAATAAGGAAGAATGTAGCAGAAGAAGAAGAAATGTGTGAAAGAGATACTATATCGTTAATATAGAAAATAAGCAGGCATGTTTTTACGTCAGCGTACAAATGGATCGAGCCGATCATATGATCAAACTGTGCGGCGTATCAGCCGGAGACAGATAACCGTACTAGTTGTTCATAGGCAAAAAGTCGAATAGGGAGTCCTTTATTGCCATCACTGAATTCTAGTATATGTTTCTGGACTGTTAACTCCAGAAAAGAAGGGGAAATGATTAGCATTGCAGAACAAATGTAGCGAAGGGAATCGCAGAACAACTGTACGACAGTCAACTTGTGGAGAGAATTACGGAAATAGTTCCCGGCCCCACACCAGTAAATAATTTTGCTCTCTATTTTAGACAGAAGACAGTTGGTATGGATTAAGTTTGAAAGGAGTAAAACCGCATAGGTGGTAGCATTAAAGAATAGCATACGAATCGGTTTGTAGCAGCTCATCCTAGATGAACATGTTTGCTCTGGTGCATTTGTTGGATTTGTTTCAAGTCGATGCTCACCGGTATCAAACAAGATCCGGCCCTTCTTCATACACCTTTTCATCATCAAGTTGAATTTTTATGATCCATTTCACTTTGTCAGTTGACAGATAAATCTTTTATCATTTTCTTGAACACGCAAAAATGTTCAATACATCTAATCTCTTTTGGCAGCTTATTCTATATGATGCCATGCCTAAGAAGGTAGAAATTTTTCCTTAGACTAGTCTTGAATTTAGCTAGAGAATATACATTCATTATTGCGCAGTTCATAAATCGCATTATCCCGAAAGTGTAAATGATAGGTTTCAATGCATGCTTTCCGCCACGCAAGTTTGTGGAGGAAGCACAGATTTAATTGCATTCTTCGTAACCACAGAGTTTCAAGATTCAATTGCTTGCACCTATCTCGGTATGAAAGAGCGGTTGAATAACAAAATATGCGCATCGTAAAGGCGCGTTGGACGTTTTCAATGGCTCTCAAGTCACACTTTCTTAGTTACTGAATGTAATACGACAATATTCAAGCAAAGGCTTGATACTAATTTTGAAAACAATTACATTGGTTTCTTTCAAAGATAGCAGGTAGCATATGAGCCTGACAGACTGCTTAGCCTTTTTCATGATATGATTTATATGTTTAAGTTTAAGTTTAACGAAGTAGAATATATTAAATCTAGGTCATTAATAGACTGGCTGATGGGAATGACTTAGTCATGAAGCCTAAACACTTCTACTGCTATCTGACATCCATACGCTAGAATATTACACTTCGATGTTGCAAATGTCGTCTGCCACATTTCAGCCCATCTCTTAATGGCTTTCAAGTCGCTTTGGATATTGTTAACTTCAGCGGTACGCTGAAGACATGGGAACGTAGAAACTGCCCTTAATTCATCAGTAAACAAATAAGACTTCCCAAATTGTATGACAGAAATGAGATCATTTATATACAGTATGAAGAGTAACGGGCCTAAGACACTGCCCTGTACCACTCCACTGGTTACCAGACGAGGTGAAGAGATGTAACCATTGATATCCCCAACTTGCGACCGTCCTACTAGATATGATTGGATCCAAGCTTGAAGCGGATTTGTAACACCGTACTTACTTAATTTATGTAGCAGCTTCTTGTGTGCGATTCTGTCAAATGCTTTTTGCATATCGAGGAAGATGACAATGCACTGAAAACCTGAGTCGATTGTTCCAGTTAGATGGTTCAGTCAACTTGGCAGGTAACACACGAGCGAGACTTCAGAAAGCCATGTTATGCACGTGAGAAAAGTTTGTGCGATATTAGAAACGAAACCAAATGTTCCTTAACAATTCTCTCTAGCATGCGTGAGAGAACGGCTGTGTGACTAATGGTGCGGAAGTTCTAGATGTCAGTTTTCGACCCGGACTTATGTCTCGGTACAACCGTAGCCGTTTTCCAACGTTCGGGGTATTGACCAGACTGGAGAGACAAAAAGATATTCAATAATATAAAAGGGATATCATCTCCACCGCGTTTGATTAAAGCGGAAGAGATGCCAGGTGGGCCAGGTCTGTAGGATGGTCGCAGACAAGTAATCATACGTTTTGTCGTGGCAACACTAAGCTCGATCGCTGGGACTTGTTCAGAGAAGTTAAACGAGGTTGGCAATTCCAGGGTTTCCTTTTCAACATTAAAGGATTCACAAAGTATGGGTTAAAGGCTTCTGCCATAGCAATTGGGGAATCAATGCACTCGCCTTCAGGCATGACGATGTGGGAGGGTAGGTCAGTTTTGCTGCCTCTCCTTCTCACTAATGCAGTCAACAGTTGACTTGTATTACTACTGTTTAGAGCCCGTTGTTCTTCCTGCATGAGACGGATGTGGTGTTTCATGTCCGTCTCAATTATAAGGCGCTGGTGTCTCAGTAATACGCTGAAGTCGTGAGTACGTTCATATATTTGATTTAGCACTAGTATTTTCCGCTTGTCCTTTGCGCTCTTAGCGTACTTAGAAGAGGCTCTGGTATTATCACGGGAGGCAATTATGCTTAAGCACCTAGTCACATTGCCGTAGAAGATGTCAAAGGCTCCCTTAATATCAAACGGAAGAAAGGAATAGTCCCAATTTTGGACCCTAAGCAGAGTGGAGAAATCTATCCAATTGACATCTTGCGGGAAGTGTTGAAACACCGCTGACCTCACATGCGACGATTCAGTTATAAGTTTACATCTGACTATTTTGTGATCACATCCAGGGAGACCGTCAATTACATCAGTAGCTATCTGGGAGGTGCCTGAGGTAAAAACGAGGTCTAGTATATTTTTACCCCTGGTAGCCACGAGAACTTGTTGCTCCCAGCTACCAGTGATGACGGAGGTTATGAACTCTGCATGTTTCGCGTTCGTTACTAAGTTTGACCTCAGATATCTGGTAGGGTGAAATCTCCACCTACCACTTTATCAAAAGAACTAAGTCCCGAGATTTAATTGAAGATGTTCACCAAATGGTGCTCATCACTGGTGCTGACCCCGGGTGAGCGGTATATACAGTCCACAAGAGTTTGCTTAGTACCGAAGGATAAGAGTAACCAAGCAGAATCAATAGTGGGGCATATAAGTGGAAGTGTGAATTCAGACACAGGGAGGTTCTGTGAGTAGTAAATTATGCAACCACCTCCTCTGCCTTGCTTTCAATCACTTCTACTAAGCTTGTAGCCTTCGACAGAAATCAGCTGGCTGGGCATAGAATCATGATAACAGGTTTCAGTGAGTAAAATCATATCAGGTTTATTCAGATATGAAGGTGGGGGGTAAATGAAGCTTATTGAACAGAGAACGGATGTTAAGTATCATCAGTATTAAAATGTCCTGGCGGTGTCCATCATTCCACCCAGTATTTACT